TCAATGACTACTTATTTTTGTCCAGCTTTAACATCGGTATCGATATCGGTTATCGGCTACATGAGTTTTAAAATATCGGCATATTGGATATCGGTCAAAATCCCAATATCGTGCATCCCTAGCGGTAATGCACCAAAAGTTGTTTGCCAACCGCCATAAAACACAAGAAGAAGACGAAGAAGAAGAAGGGAATCAAGCAAATCAAAATGGCGGTGCCCGTCACATTCAGAAAGTTATGCTTGATTATTATTGCTGTACTTCGGTGTTATTAAAATGTTGCGTGGGGAAGATTTCAATTGTTGTTTACAGTTGAAGAAGAAGTTGTTCTTCTTCTTGTTTCCGGAGGGGCATTACCGCCAACTACTGGAATGGAGTGTGAATCGCGATGTGCAGCCAGACGGAAATGACGCGTTCTGCTCATGCGCTCTTGTTATCAGAGAACCGAGCCAGGGAAAAACCGAGCCGAGCCCACCTCTGGAACTGGTCTGCAGTTAGCTCGGTCCGGTTGTGTCTAGCTCGGTCCGGTTTAGTTTGCTTTCCATTTACACACGATAAACTATCTCAGTTACTGAGCTCGGACCGGTCTCGGCACGGTTTTTTCAAGGGTAGTGTAAATGGGGTATTTATGCTGGTCGTTGATCTTGGCTTATTTGACAAACAAGGTCTTTGGTTCCATCAACTTCTGCAGATTCTAACAGCAGAACCTTCTGGATGCATTGTGTCCAACTGGAGCTGCACCTCGAAATCTTAAAAACTCGGCTTTATTTTTATACAAAACACTTTATTGAAAGATTTCAGCAGTTATATCTAAAAAAGTACAAACGGATCAAAAATATCAGCTGTTCTGACCTGCATGGAGAACCTCCATCCATTTAATATTAAAGGTGTTTTTTTATGAAACAGAACCAAAGTTAAACTGCAGACAAATCTGAATAAATTGAAGTGAAGAAGCTCCAGTCCAGGTTCTGGAGATGTTTAAGGTTCCTCCTCATGTTAGAAGAGAGAGGGCACAGCTGTGCTCCTGCTTCCTCAGTTCTCCACCTCCTCCTCGTCAGCTTCCTCCTCAGGCTCCTCCATGCGCTGCTCCTCCTCCTCCTCATCCTCTCTGCTCTTGTCGTTCTCAGAGTCGTTCTTCTTCTCCTTGTCTTTGCGCTTCTGCTCGCTCACCTCCTTCTTTCCCTTCTGGTCCTTCTTGTACACTGAGGAAGACAAACCAACAGGGTCAGAAGGTTCTGATGGCGTCAGAACAGAACCCATTTCATTGATTGCATCTTAAAATAAGTAAACATTTCTTAAATTAAGTGCAATTACCCTTAATTTGAGTAGGTAAATAAGATGATCTGCCAATGGAATGAGTATATTTTACTCCTAAAGGGGTCATAGAATGC